TAAGGACCTTACTGATAATGAGATTGCATTGATTCTCCTTATTCAGGTCAGCCCCCACCCAAGTTCAAAGTAATTTAATCTAAGGGTAGGGAAGCCCATTGTGTTCTACGTAAACTTGGATAGAGACAGATTCTCTAGATAGCTTATGGCTGGGAGTGGTCTGGCATTGAGATATTATCTCTGTGCTGGGGTGAGGGAGTGACATCAGCCCCTGTTGGAAGGGTATACAAACTGTGTACCCTAAACCCAAAGGGAGCTCAGTTCCAGACTGGTTCCCATGCATGGATGCGTGCATGCTGCCCACTTTGAGAGAAATAAACATGGATACAACCTAATTCTGTTTGTCTTCCTTAGACTGAACTCTGAAGGTTGACAACACACACACACACACACACACACACACATATATGTATATATGTGTGTGTGTGTGTATGTGTGTGTTATACTTACGGGGGGGTGTGTTATACTTATGGGTGTATGTGTGGTACTCCCTCAGTACAGTGTAAGCCCCTTGAAGGCAGGGACTCTTTTTGTCTTTGCATCCCCAGGGCTTGGCACAATGCCTTACACATGGTAAATACTTAAATAAATGCTTATTAAATTGAACCTGAAGCAGGTCTGTCCCAAGTGTAGTGATGCAGAGACCAACTAGTCATTTTAGCATGCAGCAAGGGCCTTTCCACAGAGTAAATACTGTATAGTATCTTCACCCTCCTTCACTGTGACTAGTACACATAGTCAAATGGCTAACATGGAATGAATTGTGAAAACTCAGCCCCAGGGAGACAACTCTAATGGAATATGTATGTATATGTAAATATACTGTGTGCATGTATGCATATACACCTGCATGTATGTAGACATGTACAGACACACGACTATTCCCCCAGGAATCCTCTGAATCACCAGAAGGCTGACGGAGAAAAGAATAACAATGTTGGCTAAGATCTAATGTCACTGCTTTTTGAGATAGCCCTATTTTCCTCTGACTTCTCCCTTGAGGACATCCAGACTTACAACCAAAAATATATATGGTTTAATAAAGCTGGGACTTGGCTTTGGTAATTGCAGTTGCTTTTCCTGAAGAGATGATCTCTCATTGATGAATTAGATCTGCCATCTCTATATCAGAACCCCTTGCTCCTTAATTCCTGTGGCCCTCACAGTAACATTAGGAGCCCTGTCCTGAGTGGTTCTGAATGCTAATGTTTGGTAGGATTTATCTTCCATTTTCCCATGTCTAGGGCAGAGTTACAAGGCCCTCTGTCCTTGAGGGGAGTAGAATGAATTGAGATATTTTCTCAGGGAGTCCCTTGTCTTAAGGGGAGTAGAATGTTGTATATTGTGTTCTATTTTATTCTAGAATGTAAACTCCTTGAGGACAGCAAAAGTGTCACATTTTAGGTTTATATCCTCAATGCCCAGCACAGTGCTTTTGTTCCTTATTTAACATTTCTTAAACTGAAAAATAATATAGGATGTACTCAAATTTTATACCAACTAGATTCAGACCAATATACACAATTTCTTGTTTTATATTTTAAAGGGAAAAATATCACTGGCATTGAAATTTTCTCATGGAATACCTATAGTCATATCTGCAGAACACTAGAGTTCAACCAAACACAGTTTGGAAACATTTTGGTGTTGGAAAATAAGGTCTGAGGACAGAACTGACATTTTATGATCTGGAAAAAAATGTAGAATGAGTAGAAACTGAATTATAGCATTTTTCCCCAAGTAAGTGAAGAGTTCTCAGCACTAGCTTTACCCTTCAGGAAGGGGAGAAACAAAAGGAAAAGAGACTCCTTGTTAAGATGGAGAAGGGAAAGGTTGTAGAGGAGGCCAATTCATTCACATATACTCCCACAAAAAGAACTAGATTGAATAATGATCAAGAAATCCAAAGAGAAATATAGCAATGACAAACATCATGCAGCCCAGGACTATACAAAAAAGAAAGTTGGAAACCTGTGAGCACAGGGATAAGGATTCCACCATGGCAGACAGTATTGGCTGTTTTGTTGTTCAGTTGTGTCCATCTCTTTGTGACCCTGGAAGCCAGTATAAACACAAGTAAACAGGACAGTAGCCTTCTAACCTCTGACCAGAGATGCTCCAAGGGCATCTGTGGAATTCGGAAAGGGAATCCCCAGGGTGGTGGAAGTTTGTTGCCCCCTTACTAGGATTCTTCGGGGTTGGGAGGGTCAGGGTGTGGAAGTCCACTGATGACTGACCAAAGATGGCTAGTGTTCCAGAGAGGCCCAACGAGGACAATTCAGGGAGACCTTTAGAACTCACCCTGACCCTGGATGATTCAGGGAGGTCTGAAACCTGCTAGCACTAAGAGTGTAGACACACCAGAAAAAGTGGAAACCAGCTATCAGGAACCCAGGAAATCAAGATGAGGATGAAACCAGGCATGACAACACCAAGTGTTTGGAAAGGGGAGGACATTGGCCCTGGCATACAATCTCAAACTAGGAACTGAGGCTAGAGACATGAACAAATAAAAGGTACCAAACACAATGAAGTATAATGGGGTCAAGATGTTGAGGTTCAGGGATTTAGGGGTACCAGGACCCCAAAATCACCACATGTGGGTCCTGCCTGAAAGAATTTGACCCAAGCCTTCTTTCAGGAAAAGACAAGGTTTATTAAAATATCCGTCATATTGGGCATACTCTTAAGGAATCTGAACATTAGTGAGCTATTGGCTAGATTATAAGAATCTGAGCACCTTAATGGAGACAAGATGGACTTCATATACAGAAAGACTGTGGGAAAAATCTAGGAGTGGCCAAGTAGTCTAGGGGTGAGGTGGGACAGTACTGTGAGGTAATGGAATGCCAGGGACATGGACCATGTGGCCAAGGGAGAATGGAGTCTAGCTAGGATTAAGGGTGGGAAGTGGCCAGGGCCCATAGGGAGGTAAGACAATGAAGGGCCAGGCTAGGTTAAGGGTAATAGAGATTGGGCATAGCCACAATGAAGGGCCAGTTGATAGGATTATAGCCTCAGGGGAACACCAGAGATTTGGCCATGTGGGAAAGCCCAGGGTTTTTCCTTTTTGGGGTCTGGATCCCATCCTCAACAAAGAGACAAACCCAGAAGAAGAAATTAACTCTACCAGTACAAGCAGAGCGGAGTTGGGAAAATGGCTTGGCCACAAGGACTCTAAGAGTATCTGGAAGAAATGAAGAAAAAGATAAAAAAATGAAATCAGAAGTAAATGGAAGGAGTATAAAGAGCCTAGAACTAAGGTGGAAAACCTTATGCAAGTAGTGAACCTACTAAGAATTGGGGTGGAACAAATAAAACTGAATGATTCCAGTGACAGGACTTAGAACAAGATCAGAGGGAAATGAATTCATGTTGCCTCAGGAAATATTCAAACTAGATGTAAGGAATCCTAGTACTGTGGGAAGAGCCCTGGGCTCAAAGCCAGAAGAACCAGATTCTAGTACTAACTTCACTATTATGTGACCTTGACCAAGTCACTTCCCCTCAATGGATGATCCACAGTACCTGATGCATGATAGGGGATTAATAAATATTTATGCATTGATTTATGGTCTCCAAGATCCTTTCCAACTACGGCATTTGATGATTCTATGATTCCAGGTGTCCTATTGTGTAAAATCAAAGACGACGCCTGACAGCACAGGTGTGTGACACTGAAACTGATGTCCCAGGGAGTTTTGGGGTTTTTTGTTTAAGGGGAAGATAGAATTAATTTAGTAGAGGTTCTTTCTCATCTATTGAAGTTATTTCCTTCTTGGTAAAATGAGGGTGCTGAATCCTAGAGATTAGGTAATGAAACATACCTTTCTCCTCACAGCAGAGGGGCAGGAGATTGATGGCAGAATGTTGCATATACATTGTCAGAAATGGTCACTATGTCTTTGCTTACCTATTTTTGTTCAATTTAAAGGGACTGTTGTATGTATGATGTATGCATATCTGGGAATAACTGTGATGTAAAACAAAAGGCATCAATATTTTTTTTAATTAAGGGGTGGACTAAATGAGATCTTTTCCAGCTCAATTCAACAAGGCATTTATCAGATGCCTACTACGCGCAAAGTATTGTGCTAAGCTCTGGAAATACAAAGGCAAAAACAAACAGTTCTCTGCCCTCAAGGAGCTTACAAGGATGCAACATGTAAATATAAAGATAGGAATAAGGACTCGATCCTATTCACTTGAATAAAGACCTCCAGGATAAGGAAACTCCCTTCAATCAATGGACGATGGTAACTTAGAGAGTTGCCTGAGAAGTTAAGTGACTTATCCAGGGTCATAGAGTTTGTGTCAGAGGAAGGAGGAGAAACATAGGGACAGAAACAGACAGATACAAAGGCAAAGACAGAGAGGCAGAGAATTTATTAAGTACTTCCAATGAGCCAGGCATTAAGCGCTGGGACTTAGATCTTGTTGGTTTCAAGGCCTGGCATGCTCTGTCCACTGCCATATTTAACGAAATAATTTCAAGAAAGACGCAGCAGTAACAACTGAGGGAATCAGAAAAAGTCCCTGCGAGAGGTGACACCTACTTAGTGCTTTGAAAGGAGAAGACTGTCCAAGAGGCTGAGGAGGTGGGGAGGGAAGGCATTCCAAAGGTGGGAAGTCCCCACGCAAAGGCGCAGAAGCGGGAGATGGAACACTGTGTACCACTGTCATTCTATGATCCCAGGGAGAATGCTCAGCTGAGCCTAGATAATGGACGAGATGACCTTTCAATGGGAGTCCGTGGTCCAGAAAGAGAAAACTAAGTTAATAGCACCATCTAGGGGAAAAATGAGGATTCCAGGTGCCTCGGGGTGAGCCGACGATGCCGAACCCCCAAGGCTGCAGGAGCTGGAGGCAAGCGAGGCACCCCTCCTCTCCCCTGGCACTCCTTCCATGGCCCTCCTTCTCCTCCCGGCCGACAGAACTACCAGTCCCAGGAGACCCTGCGCGCGCGAAGATGAGGGCGGGGCGTTAACGTTGTGACGTACTGCGGGGGTGGGCCAGAGAAGTTCGCCCTGGGACGTTTGCCCGGCCCCGCCCCCGTCCCTGTTGCTGTTGCGACGCAGCTGCTGGTGGCTGTTGCTGCTGCGGGTGAGTCTCTAAGGTGAAGACGGTTGATGGCGTGGGGAGGAGTGGGAAATGCGGCTTTCCCGCTTCGTGTCCGTGAAGGCGAAGGAAACGCGTGGCCGGGAAGGGAGGGCCGGTGGCTCGCTGAGTTTCCTCTAGGGTCGCGTCAGAGGGGGCGGGAGCGGGGGGAGATGGCCTCCATAGCGCCCCTCTCATTTCTAAGGGGGTTTATGGGGAGGAGAGCGAGGCTCTGGCGGCTGCGCGCGCACGGGGTGGGGGTGGGGGTGGGGTGCGGCGATATGGACACGCTCCCCTGTTCTCTTGGGGTATACGCCGTGGCGTCGCAGCAGGCATGGAGAGTAGTGACGTCACGATCTCTTGCTTAAGGATTGGACAATCGCCCCCTCCCCCACCCCCAACCCCCTTAGCTACTTGGCGTCTGGCTCTAGTCTTGATTCTCTTTGAGAAGAGGTGGAACCTTGGAAAGAAGGGGGAGGGAGCTGAAGCCCCTCATCCTTCACAAGCGATGCCCGATGATTTAATTTCGGAGGCAATCTCCCCTCCCGCTACCCCCAATCGGGTCTGAGTCTAGCTACAATCCTTGCTTTTAAAGCTGGATGAAACTCTGTGTGTCATATAGTCCAAACTCCTCATTTTACACATGGGGAAATTGAGGCATACAGAGGTGAAGTGACTTGCCCAAGGTCAAGACAGTAGTAAATGGCAGAGTCCAGATTCAGCTCACACAACTTCCGTTCACTGATTCCAGAAGAGGTATTCATTTGTGAACCCTTCTGGGGATACTGAGCAGGAGCTGAGTGGTATATGGAGAAAGAAAAGAAAGTCCCCAGCTCACCTTCTGCTGATGTGTACTATTTGCTGTAGTCACGCTATTTAATATCTTACTAGTGAATTGTCATTCTCCTCTGTCTACTAATTCTGACCTTGATAACTGTTGAATAGGAAGCCCAATTCCATTTTGGGCCAGTTATCTCTACTCCCCTTCTTAGTTCATGACCAACAGTAAGTCCCAGGCCAAGTCCTACTTGGGCATTGTGTGGACCCTGATTGGCTCAGAGTGAATGTAAATAGCAGTTGTTTTCTGTTTTGGTCAGAAACCCTGAGGGTCTTTTCCCAGATTGATTTTTTTTTTTTTTGGACTAGGTAAAGAGGCCATTATCTGACCAATTTCTTATTCTGCCTTAATCACTGAATGGATTTTGCATAAATCAAACTGAGATCGAAAAGACCTTAGTTTAAAAAGGCCAAGGTCCTCCACTGCATCCTGAGCCATCTTCAGTTGTCTATATCTTGTCACTGTACCTCGATGGCTTCAGAGGAGAAAGTGAGACTGGAGACTTTGTACATTCCTCCCTCATTTAAATCCAATTTATGTGCATGTCACTTCCCTGATGTCATGGTCCTCTTCAAGAATGAAGGACAAACAACAATAATATACATTTATTTGAATGTTGTCTACAGACCAGACTTCTTAAGTAGCTTATGATTTAAGGAGAGAGGGAATAATACATAAATAATTGAAGCAATAGCTAATAATAATAGCTCATTTCTTACTGTATGCCATGCACTGTGCTCAGTGCTTTACAAATATTATTTCCTTTGATCCTCAGAAAAATCTTCCAGGGTAGGAGCTGTTATCACCACTTTACTATTGTGGAAATAGTAAACTGAAACAGATTAAGTGACTTGCCCAGGTCACACAGTTAAGTGTCTGCGGCCAGATTTGAACTTGAATGCCAAGATCCAGGCACATTTCTCTACCTACTGCTCCACCTAGCAGTAGATAACCTAATAATGATGCAAAAGAGTGAGATAAAAAAAGCGAAGGAATGATTTGGGGAGGGACCTGGGAGGCTCCAGGAAGTCTTCATGGAGAGGGAGTTCATTAGACTTGAGGTGCATGGAGTTATTTCAGGCATGGGAAATGATGTGCATAAAGCTATGGAAATGGGAGAGACAGCAGAACAGTTAACCCCAGTTCAGGTAGGACATAAGAATACATTAAAGGATAAAGCTCAGTTAGGACCAAGGGCTGGACATACTTACATTACAAATGGAAAGCTGGTAGTGACCTCAGATCAAGTCTCACCACTCTTCATTTTAGAGATAAACTGGTGCTCCATCATGTTAAGTAAATACTCTGAATCTAAATCCATCTGCTTTCCCTCTGTGCAACTCATTTCATAATGATAACTCAAATTTATGTAGCTCTTTTAAAATTTTCAAGAAAAAGTTCTTTCCTCAACTCTGTGAGATAGATAGTACAAATGTTCTCACCATTTTACAGATGAGGAAACTGAAACTCAGTTTAAATTTGCCTATAATCATCAAAGAACATGAGTCCAGCATTCCCTTCACCATGCCATAGTGCTTCCCAATAGGCAGTAAGGAATTACTGAAAATTTTTGAATAGACTAAGTATGAAATACTGTAAGTGTAATAATAGAAAAGGAAGGTTACTTGAGCAGCAGTTGGAATTGTGGACTGGAGAGAGAATACCCATGCCTGATGTGTAAGTAATCTATAATCACTTAGGGAAGTGGGAGAATGAATTAGCGCCACCCATCCCCACTACTAAAAAGCAACTCAGACCAGACCTACTGATGGAGGTCTTTACCAACCAATGAAACCTCATTTGGGAAGTTTGAGAAGGCTCAGTTCCAGATATTTCCAGCAAAGCGTGACATCATGCTGACTTAGCAGACTTCCCCTTAGAGGACTGTGCCTATTTAGAAATAATCTTTCCCCACACAGCATGATATGCATTTGACCTGAAGCAGCAAACTTCCTGTTTCACTCACATTAAGTACTCTCATTGCCTGGGCCACTTTGGAGTTAGAAGCTATAACCCTTCCCTAATCAGAGAAGTGGTCAAAGGATATGAACCATAACTTCTCAAAAGAGGACTTGTGAACTATTAACAGCCATATAAAAGAGTATTCCACATCACTAATAATAAGAGAAATAAAAAGCAAAACAACTCAGATTTTACTTCATACGCATTGACAAAGATGTTAAAATAGGCAGTGTTGGAAAGGTTGAGGAGAAGCTAATGCATTGTTAGTGGAATTGTGGACTGGTACAACCATTTTGGAAGGCAAATGAAGTGATTAAAAAACCTTTTTTGATCCAAATATTGCACTGCTGGGCATGTGTCCCAGGGAGGTCAATGACGGAAGAAAGGCTCTTATGTTTTATCGGTTTTTATGGTAGCAAAGAACTGGAAACAAAGAAGATACCAATTGATTGGGGAAGGGCTAAACAAATTGTGTGATACTTGCATCACATGTCCCAGAATGGTAATGGAATATTATTGTGCTGTGAGAATGACAGGTATGATACAGAGAAGCCTGGAAAGACTTACATGAACTAATGTAAAGTGAAGTAAGCAGAACCCTGAAAACAATATACACAGTGTCTAGAACACTGTAAATGAAAAGAATAGCCACAAAACTGAATGTCAGAGAAAAATTTTTTGAAACAAACTTGGCTTCAGAGAAGACATTATGAGAAGATACCTCTACCTTTTGCAGAAGTGGAGTTCTAGGGGTGTGAAACATTGCAAATAACCACAGATTTTTTTCTATGAATTGGTTGGTTTTATTGTTTTTTTCTCTTCCTGTTTTTTCAAAACATTTGTTATAAGGGATAACTGGAGAAGGGGCTGGGGAATGGAACTTAGACAATGTAAAAACAAAAGGTATAGATAAAAAAAATCTATTTAAAAGGAAAAATAGTCACATGCCTTTTAAAGGAAAAATCCCTGATTAAAAGGAAATGGGGAATTATCTCTTGGAGTTCTGAGATTTCCTTGCTGCAAAAAAAAGCTGTTAATTCAAAACATTGTAATGAAATACACCATTTGTGTCCTAAGCCATGATATTTTTGGTTGTATTATGCAATGTCTTGCTAGGTCACCAATTTGAGGGCCCCAGTAGAGATTCTTTGCTTATTCTCCCTGTCTCATGACTATTTTCCTATTATTTGCACATCATACTCAAGTCTTTTTGACCACAGCTGAATCCATCAAAACACAGCCATAGTTTTCATGGCATACCATCTGAGTACAGAGGAACAATCTTTGCAGTGTTGTTCTGCAATATTTATTCCCCCAGTCAGGAAAAAGTGAGGCTAACATGTCTATTTACCTTAACAACAACACAAACAGACAAAAAAAACCATTGGGTAGAATCTGATACTATTGGATGAAATGACTTTTAAAAAATATCATTTGGGAGTTTTAGTTATTCATTTACTGGCCCAAATTAGTACAGGTAATTAAGGATTGATTTGTTCTCTGACTTCCTGAGCATTAGTTTCACTTTATGAACTGAACCAAAGGAGCTTCAAATAGTTTCATTTTTCTTGATGGCAGTTTTATTTCTCTTGAAACAGCCCCACCCACTGGGTGAAACGGTAATGTGAAATTTCTTTCTAACCATTTAAAAAAATTATTGATGTAATTTGTTCTGATACAGAAAACCCTTTCCTACTAACACTACAGAGTACACTACCAAAAGCAGTTAATTCGTTTAATTCAAAGCAGTTAACATGGAGATGTGTTCTTTCTCTTTGACAGTATAGTACTAATGTTTATTATTTGTATTTGATTAGAATTTTGTCGTCTCTTAGTTTGGCCTTTATTTATATTACTGTAGTCAGAGAGAGAGAGAGAGTGTGTGTATGTGTATGCACATACTGCTTTCTTCATTTCTGTTTTCACCTTATTTTAAAAAATGACAAATAATACTGTTGAGGGTTGGAAATTAAGGGGTGCTGGAACCCCAAAATGATGACATGTGGGTCCTACCCAAGTGAATTCAACAGCCAAAGACAAGGTTTATTAGAACATCTTTTGGGGGGGGGTGAGATTTAAAGAATCCGCTGTTGGCGGATTAGACTCTTGAGGAATCTAAGCATTTGTATCGTTAATTCAAGGGGACCAGATCCTGAGAATCTGAGCCCCTTAATGGAGGCCAGATGGACCTTATATACAGAAAGACTGTGGGAGGGATTTAGTAGTGGCCAAGTAGTCTGGGGTGATTGGTCTGAGGAGGATCTGGATGGGAGTAGCCAGTAAAATGGGATGACTGTGGTCCAGGGACCAGGACCACGGGACCAAGGAAAATGGAACCTAGATAGGATTAAGGGTGGGAAGGGAGGTAAGAGAATGGAGGGCTAGGCTAGGTTAAGGGTAATGGAGAATTGGGAGATAATGATAATAATTGAGACAATGATAATGAAAGGCCAGTTGAAAGTATTATAGCTTCAGGCTAATACCAGAGATTCAGCCATATGAGAAAGTCTAGGGCTTTTCCTTTTAGGGGTTCAGATCCCATCCCCATCAATGCTACTGCTATTTTTAACCATATTCCTTGGTGATAGTTCAGTATCCATGAGGACAAAACTTAAGAAAATTCCAATTAATTTGGTTGCTTTTTTGTTGAAGCAGAGTTGGAAGCAGTACAAGGGAGGTTTTACAAGTTAATTCCATGGGACCCCTCCATCTTTTTTTGTTGATTCCTAGTTTTGTATCACCTGAGCTTCACCTAAATTTGTAGGGTCATGCAGAAGGACTAGTTATTTATACCTTTTTCTGTTCTTATAGAACTCTCAAAAGGACAGTGCATTATTTTTGGATAGCCTAGTAGATGGAATTGTCTCCAGCTTTCTTAGAAATTGGGAGCCTAGCTATTCAAAGAATGAATTTAGAAATATATGGTCTGGTATTACCTTACTTGGCTGATTCATCCCACCAATCCAAAGCTTAGTAAGCTTTTATTTCTCTGTTTCTCCCTTCTTTCTGCATCAGTTCTAAGACTGGTAGTGGTAAGTTGTCCATCTTTGTTCGTTGGTACAGTCTGGTTTTTAAAGAAAAGAAGTTCATGCTCAAATAATCTCAGTGTTTCTCCTTTTTCTGTTCTATGTTTACTCTTCTATTTCCAGCACATTTTGGGGGAGAAATTATTTTCAACAGCCAATGTTTGATCCCAGTTGTCCCTATCTTCATTGCCTTTATTGAAAATTGGCAGATCTCACTCTTCCAGGAAGAGAGATTAAAATGGGTACTTCTCAGCTGCCTTGGCTGGGTACCGTTATGTTCTAGGCACACAAAATGACCCTGTCTTATTCTGTAGGATGAAATAAGCAACTGGTTTATCATCATGCCTGTCTCCATCATACCATTATTCTGCATGCTTCTTTTTCCTTACCCTCCAGCTCCTTGGCTTGTCTAGCAAGTAAGATACATTTCTATTTGGGGAGGCAGTTGGGGTTAAGTGACTTAAGTTACTTGCCCAGAGTCACACAGCTAGTAAGTGTTATGTGTCTGAGGCCAGATTTGAACTGAGGTCCTCTTGACTCCAGGGCTAGTGCTCTATCCACCACTCCACCTGGCGGCTGGGAAGATACATTCCTGTACTTCATTTCACGGTTGGTTGAGTTCATTTCCAATGCATGGAGCTCATTTGGTGTCCTCTGAGTCCTTTAGTGAAATCTCTGAAATGTAAAACTTCTGCCTTGTGGAATCTGTTAAGTTTTTAGGGCTCTTGCCTTTTCTCAGAGGACAATTGATTTTTAGATGAATAGAAAGGGGACTTGTTAGGCTATTTTTTTTTGTTGTGTCTCTCTTTTTTTTTCCCTAAGTGCTGTTCTTTTCATAGAATACCCAAGTGATCTGTTTTCATTAGGATATGGGTTTTTGAGCTTTTTTTTCCATGATAAGGAAAGATTTGTATTGAGTCATAAGCCCTCGCTAGCTTAGGTCCTATCATACAAAAGTGATAAACATTGGTTGTTTGTTTTTTTAAGTAATTACTTTTAATTATAAATAATAATCTTATACCAACAATCAAATAAAATTAAGAATAATACCCCAATGAAAGTGTAAATTCTAGACAGTTGCATATGTGTGTGTAACTGACAAAATAATACTCTTATGTGGCTCTGTCCCTTTTCTCATGGGGATTCTTTAAAAGTTTTGTTGCTACCATTTTATTGTTGTGAATGAGTGTCTTCTGTTTCGACTTTTTCTCCTGTGTACCTCTTTGTATAAACCTTCCCATATTTCTTTTATTCATTTTAAAAAATTTTAGAGCATAAGTATTTAATTGCATTGGTATACCGGTTTCTTCAGCTGTTCTCTAATTGTACTTGTTTCCAGTTTTTTTGCTGTTACATAGAAAGCAGTTCTCAATATTGTGTAGTTTTAAAAACCATTTAGTAACATAACAATAGCTAGGTTATAGTGTTTTAAGTTTTGCAAAAGTACTTTACATATATTAACTCATTTGATCCTCACAACTACTCTTTGAGGCCAGTACTGTTATCCCTGTTTTTCAGATGAGAAAACTTGAGGCTGAGAGAGGTTAAATGATTTGCCCAGGGTTACACAGCTACTGAGGGTCCCAGGCAGGATTTGAACTTGGGTATTTTTTATTCCAAGTCCAGCACTTTAGCCACTACACTGATGGGGTATGGGTCCAATCTGAGATCTTTATCCCTTATCCCAAAAGAATTTGGGTCCCATTTGTTAGAGGGGGAAATGACAGGGTATGGGCCCTGGGAAACACTCCTTTCCCCCCAATTCTCCTTGAGTTTTTTCCTTTTCCCATATGGTCTAGTCTTTGGCTTTTGCCTGAGGTATCATCCCAGTAATCCTGTCTACTGGCCTTTTTGTGGCTACTTCCAATCTCCCAATTCTGTTACCTCTGACCCAGCCCAACCTTCATGGTCTGTTATCTCCTCACTTCCTCTCTGAGGCCGCCCTGCCCTTCCTCCACTTTCTACCCTTAATCCTATCTAGATTCTGTTCTACCTTGGCCGGGTGTTCCAGGTCCCTGGTATTCTGGGGCACCTAGCCCTCCCTTCTCTCAGTCACCCCAGACTACTTGGCCACTCCCAGATCCCTCCCATAGTCTTTCTGTATATAAGATCCATCTTGTCAACATTAAGGTGCTCAGATTCAATCTAGCCCTCATGTCAGTACAAGCAGTCACAAATGTTCAGATTCCTTAACAGTCTGGTCAATATGGCAGGTCTTTAAGAAACCTTGTCTTTGGCTGAAAGGCTTGGGTGGAATTCATTCGGGCAGGACCTGCGTCCCTAGACCTCAACACCACCACTTAACTGCCACCGTGCTCAGGATACATAATCTTGGTACTTGGATAATTGGGCCAGAGAGTATAATCAGTTTTTTAACTCTTACTGTAAATATGTGGCACCCATTTGGAAGAGAGTTTGATGATATTTAGAGGTGGATACTAGAGCAGAATTGAGTTCTTCCTGTAAAGTTACTGGATCATTGTGGAGTGCAAACTTGTACCCTTACCTCACTCAACTCAAGCAGCCAGCCAGCCCATCTTGTGTGTTATTAGTGGTACTGTATTGCTTTCTCTACTCTACCAATATGTCAGTGCTGTTCTTGTTTTACTGATGGCAAAGTCCCCACCCCACCTTATTTAAGTACGTTGCCTCAGGGCCAGCAAGCAAGTTGAAAGTCAGGGCTTGGAGCAAAGCTCTTATTGCCCAGATTTCCTAGCTAGTTACTTAACTGCCTTCCTTTGAAATTATACTGAATGAATTATAGTGACTGGCATTTAGATTATAACCAGAGGGGCAGGTTATCGGATACTAAACGTCTAGGTTGCTTCTTGCCTGCTGGCTTTTTATGCTTTAATAGGTGAGGGAAAGAACTGGGCAGCCCCTTATGCTTGCCTGGATTGTTAGTGGGACTGAAGAAAGGGCTTAATGAATCTGGAATGCCGTTAGGAATCAATGCATACCAAGAACATTCCCACCCTATCTTAAGACCACTGAGAAACTGTAATCACATAGGCTGGTTTATCCACGTGGAACTAGTTCTAACCTCATCCTGAATGTGACTTTCCCTCACAAAAAAGCAGATCTGAGATTCAAGTTGAGTGGGTTTAGCCATAGCACAGAAGAGACTCTTGGTCCCATCATTCCTTGTTTGCTAAAGCCCAAGAACAGAAAACAGTTTCTCCCTTGAAATTCAACATACCTGAACCTCTTCTTACCAAAACAGAACAACTACAAAAAAGTTTTATTGAAATACAGAAAAGGCCCTACAGCCTTTGTATCAGATAAGACCAGGAAATAAGCTAGGTGGGGCCAGTTGACTGTTAACTCTACAATTAGCAGTGTCTCTTAGTCGTTGACACCCTTTGTGGCAGGTTGCCTTGTTCCACCATATGATTTTTATAAGGAATGACATGATTTTTGCTTGTGTGGGATTGTTGCCTCAGTCCAGTTCAATAAATATTTATTGAGTCCCTACAGGGTATAAGTCACTGTGTTGTGCTGCTCAGTAAAGAATTGGAGGAATTTTAATTTTCGCTTCAGGGTATAACTTGGTTGAAAGTCAACTGTGTGGTTGAGGTGCGGGAAGCTTTATGATATATTCACTCTTCATGTTTTATATAATGCTTTGTAAAAACACTTGTCGCATCTGTTGTCCACCTTTTATCAGTGGCACAAGGCAAGAAAGCTGAATCCCAGCAGAGATCTAGTACATTTGGAGAAGACAGTTGGCCATGGCAAGATGGTTGAAAATAATAGGACCGTTAGCAGGAAACACAAATGAGCAGGCTAGCTTTGAAAGGAACATCTTTCTTTTCTTTTTTTTAAAACCTACCACTCATAATAGATATTAGCAATTTTACACAGAATCTTTCATATATGAATATATGAAATATATGAAAATGTTCATTTTCTTTCCTTTTTTAAGTTCAGGATTTTTTTAAAAAAGAAAGAAAATAGTAGCAGGTATCCTTTGCCAGTGGAAATCATGAGTGAAATGACCTAAACTGAAACAGGAAAATGGTTGTGTTCCACATAATTGTTAGGCTTGTGCTTTCTGGACTTACCTCAAATGTGTACAGAATGTTCCCTGGGTGAGAGCCCAGATTTCTGTCATTGCAGCCAGCCACTTCCTCATATCTTACCATACCCCTCATTCCCTGACAGGACCCCCACCATGGAAGAGACAGGCGAGGAGCCCCCAACATCAGCTGTCCTGCTGAATCATTGCCATTTCTCTCAGATCATCTTTAACAACGTGGAGAAGTTTTACATCCCTGGGGGAGACATCACATGCCATTACACCTTCACCCAGCATTTCATTCCTCGCCGAAAGGACTGGGTTGGCATCTTTAGGGTAAGAGATTAGAACTTTTAATCTCATGAACCATAGTTGAATCTCAGTTATTCCTGTGTGTTATTTACTTTGTGGATTTTTTTTTCAAGCAGCCAAATTTTTCAGATCCTAGACTGGATTCCACTTGTCTGCTAATACAAACTTAGTTTCATTACTAGCCTGGGCTGTACCAATACTGGATATTTTTTTGTGCCAAAATATCATAAATGCATTCAAATGTTTTTAAAAATTATTTTCTCTTTTGAATTTTCTACTCCTCCCTTCCATTCCTCTGTTTTCTTGCTTTTCCTATATTAACCTAATAGAGAATTCAGTGTGTCAGTTAATACTTGTATAGATGACATTGCTTCTTTGATGTCATTCCTCTGTCTTTATTACTTCTGAAATAAAGCTCCTTGTTATTTGAAATTTCATAGTGTCATCATAGAGCTAGAAGGAGGAGGTAGCCTGCTATAGGCCCTTGTCTCTATCCAAGTCTTTACCTAAATCACCCAAAATAGATTTTTCTTTACTCCTTTTTTGTTTTTAAAGAGGTCTCCAAGAACAGAGAATTCATGATTTCCTTTGGCAACCTTTCCCATTGTTTAATCACCCTGATAGTCAACAACAGACACTGTTAATTTTTTATGACAGGCACCCACCCATCAGTACTATCCCTGGCAAATTTGTATATTTCAGAGATGAACGATAACGGTCAAATCTATGTTATTTACACTGCAGAGTTGCCAGTAGTAGTGACCTTTGGTTTGACATCTGTATGTTATATGCCTTTGTGCTGATGCTGCTCCTGCTGAAACTAGACACTGTTCCTGATTGCACAGTGAGAGAGAAGGAGCTGTTACTTCTTTGAGTGCAAGCATGCACACAAATGCACACACCTCTCCTTAAAAAACAAAACAAAATACCCAACTTCTTTTCTTCAGTCCTTTAGTCATTTGAATACTAAGCTCGTTGATGGAGTGAACCCAGAGGTAGTAAGACTGCTATCCCTTTAGGTGGATATAGCCAAAATAGCACTAACCTCTTTAGTGGTACTTTCTGAGGCTGTAGGGTTTTGAGCCTTCAGTGTAATGTGGTTTTTCTAAGCCTTGACTGGCATTTTAGGACCTCTGCTAAGTGTTTGCTGTCTCAAAAACAAGGGGCAGAAGTGAAGTTTTGCTCCATTTTTCATCCTTTTGTGTAATAGTACCATAATTCAAACTAGGATAATTTTTTAAAATTACTTAATTGGTATTGGAATGCATTTTGTGATTTTATTTTGTAGCAAGAAACATTTTGAAATTTCCATTTGCTTAGATCAGGGGTGGGGAACCTGAGGCCACAGATTAGACTAAGATGGAAAATGGTTGTATTTCGTGAACATATACTGCCAACTGATAGTGAAAATGTTATTAGAAAAGATATTTGAAACCAGGAGTCTTACCTTTGTAAAAAATGATCAAAATCCAATAAACCAAAGAAACCTCCACCATAATGTATCTGCATCTGGGATACTGCATATAATTTCAGTAAAGAAATAAGGACACTGCAGAGTCCAGGGAAAAACAGTGAAGGTGAATTGGGGGATAGAACAACTTCCGTGTGAGGACAGATTACTCAGACATAAGACAAAGAGCTTTGTCTGGAAAGAAGAAGGTTTTTGTTTGTTTGTTTTTTGCTTTTTGATGAGGCAGTTGGGGTTAAGTGACTTGCCCAAGGTCACTCAGGTAGTAAGTGTGAAGTGTCTGAAGCTGGATTTGAACTCAGGTCCTCCTGACTCCAAGGCCAGAGCTTTATCCATTGCGCCACCTACCTGCCCCTGGAAAGATGAAAGTTGAAGGGGAGCGCAGCAGTATTTTTACAGCCATATTGAGGTTTTTGACATTTGTAATTGCTTATTGAGAGGCAAGATGGTAGCTAGTTCTGGGTTCTGATCCTAGTTGTGTGATCAAGGGCAAACCATTTAATTCCTCTGAGACTTAGTTTCCTTATCTGTAAAATGGCATTGGTAATACTTGCAGTGCTTAACCTCACAGAGTTGTTGTGAAAGATATGCTAAGTACACCATAAAGCACTATACAAATGTGAGAAGTTTCAGTGTATTAAATTATGAATGGTACTCTTTTGTCTGGACTTATATACTAGATTCACAAAATATTATTGAGGCTTTCAAAATCTGAAGGAAAATTCTTGATATAGAAAGTAGTAATTATGGGATAGATTGGTATTGTGAAAAAATATTTAGACAGGAATCAGGAAGCCTGGATTATAGCTTTATCACTAATTAGCTATAACTAATTTACTGACTTGGACAAGTCAGTTAATTTCTGTCACCTTAGTTTCCTCAGCTGTTTTTACCAAAAGGATTAGTTAGTCCATGTGAACCATCACATTCATTTTAGCTTTGTGATTCCATGAGGTTGGACTTTTTATCCTAAAAGTTGGTAGAGATGGAAATCTAGAAATTTTTGAATGATTCAAATAGATGAGTTAATTTGTAATAGATCCATGTCTTGTTATTAAAGGAGTTTAGGGATGAACTCATGAAGTGCTATTTACCATAAAAAATCTTTGCCATAAAATTTCCCTCTGAGCCACTGTTGGATCTCTGGTTTAAATTAGTGTGTTTTTATTAATCCACATGGGTGAAGCTCATATGATGGGCATAATGGGAATCAAAATAGGTAATTGAGACTTGATTGTACCTCAAAGTTTTATCCTTCATTTCTGGCTTCTAAGGATTTCTCTGTATAAATTCATTTGTTCTCTGAGGCAGGATGTGAGAATTGTTGTGGTAGGAACCATTTTACAAATAGGGAACCCCACAAGCCAGCAATGGAGTTGATGTTAGCTCTCAGATCTCCCCATTTGGAATCCCTGTTCATTCCACTGTTAACTGTTTCCTGAACTAGGCTTCTTTTTTTAGCCACTCGACAATGGCTAAGTCCCCAAGAGAAGGAAGTGGACTTGTTTTAGAGGTAGAGTCACAAAGTGGTAGCATAGAGGCCAGAGATCCTCCTCCTCGGTCTGCCCCAGCGAAGAAACAAACCAAAGAATAGACATCCCACACAAATAAAAAAAAATAGTCTTTCTGTTTAGAGGCAGCCAGAATTCTGAGGCCTTCCAACATGGTATTTTGGACACAGGGCATTAAGAAACTGCAGGACATGAATGAGGACTCTATAAAGTCTCAGTTTTTGTGGACCTCCTCAGGTTGTGATATCTCCTACTTGCTTATAACAACTGGGGTGTATGCTAATTAGACACTAAAACATACCCTAGTGTGTTCTGTTAAGTTTTCAATGTGGCCTTTTCAACTCTACTTTAACTTTTTAATAAACTAAAGTTGAATTTATTTTTAGTTCTCCCTCCCCCCACTGGGCCTGGGCAGTTTCAAAATATAGCAAATGAGCCAATTTTGTTTCTTATTTTTTGCTTCTGCAGTCTCTCTGAAGGTGCTGTGTGAATCTTTGTCCTTTCTCTGACATGCTTTTCTTCCACAGGTGATTAGGGTGGGTCTTTTACCTTTTGGGCACCTGTTCAGTTCTCCCTTTCCCACCTAAATGAGTCTTCGGCCATGATATGATGTTTTATTTCCATCAGTGTCTTGGAAGGCCTTTTATAGTCATTGAATTATAGTCATTATCACCAGAAAACCTTCATTAATTGTGTATTATCTGTGGCTTTTATACAATGAAAAGTAAGCAAATAGGTGTCTGACAGTTCCCAGTCACATAACAAGCACTGACATGGACAAAGATATACAAGATAAACTTTGGTGATGATGGATCTGTGAGCTCCCGGGGCGGGGTGGGGGCAGGAATGAGGGTTTTCCCTCCACTTGTATAGACTAAACCCCATTTATGACTTCTGACCTCTGCCAACCTTATCACCCATGACCCTGCTATAACTCCAGATGTGCAGGAGGGCTTCCTTTTGATCCCTTGGCATTGCACAAGGTACAATTGTAGTACCTATGGTTGTTCATCTGTTATCCCTTATTCTTCCTATTTAGTCTAGCCCAAAGAGTGCCAGATACAAAGTCGGAGGACCTGGGTTCAAATCCCAGCCCTGATATTAGTACATATGTCACCTTGGAAAAGTCACTTCATCTGCTTGGGCCTCAGTTTCCTCATCTGTAAATTGAGAGGGTTGGACCAAATGGTTTCTTGGTTCCTTTCCAGCTCTAAATCTACAGTTCTTTTATGGACATATATCTCTAATTTTTGGTCAAATTATTTAATATTTAACTTTATATTTTTATATTTAATTTAATATTTATTTAATTTTTTTGGAGACTAGTTTATCATTTGTAAAATGCTGCAGCCTACCTACAGGTACCATGTCTTTCCCCATTACTTTTAGGATGACCTTAATTTTGATTGTGGTGATTATGGTATCCCAGGATTTGAAGCTAGAAAGTCTTACCAGCAGAATATTGTAGTTCAAAAGATGGAGTTTTGTTTCAGGGAGCAGATTAGAATCATTGATGACAGTGGAACCACCACATTGGGACTCCCATCACAGTCCTCTTTGTACTTAAATGAGAAAGTAAACATGTTACTAAAAGAAATAAAAACAGGAAGACCAGAACAGGCACATGTGGAAGGCATCTTTGTTGACTGCAGCAGTTTAGATGGCACTGAGGAATTTCTCAAGATATTTAAAAGAGGGAGCCATTGGGAAAAAAAATCACCCTTAGACTCCCTACAAAGGGAAGTTGAGGATATCATTAACTACCAATTCATACTTTCTCATTGCCACAAAATCTTCAGGAGAATGAGATTTAATGTGCATACCAAGGGCATCTAATGAACATTTGAGAAGGGCACCTAGAAGGTTTTCATGAATGATGTTACAAAGCTAGTGAATGTTTGAGGCCAGATTTGTACTCAGGTCTTCCTGACTGTAGGCCAAGTGTTTTACCCAATGTGCTAGTAGGGTCTTCAGTACACATGGACCTCTACTTCCCCAAAGGAATTGGCGTGGTGTGTTTCATATCTCTTCTTTAGTTTATTTGTTATTTTTATACAATCACATCATCATGTTCTGATTCAGTTTTATTTCATTTTATTCTTCATTAATAATTTCTTAGGGTACAATAATATTCCATTATATTGGTATACTACAATTTATTTAGCCACTTCTGTTATTTGACATATATACTTTCCAGCTTTTTACTGTTACACATAAAGTTGCTTGTTTAACCTTTTTCCACCCTTTTTCTAACATATTTAAGATCTCTTAGCAGTGAGATCACCGGGTCAATGTGATGGCTTGATTTCCCAAATGATTGCATCAATTCAGTTTTACTAACAGTGCAATAACATGTGATTGTTTTTCCCACAATCCCACCAATAGTGAGTTTTGTCATTTTTAAACTTTTTGCCTATTTGATGCATGTAAGATATATGTAAGAAGCTGTTTAATTTTGACTGACTTCAGAGAGTTTGATTAATTTTAAATGATTATTAGTCATTTAGTATCTTTCTTCATGAACTGCTTGTTCATGTCTCTTTTTAAGTTCTATTGATACCTTTTAATTTTATATCACATTTTCAAATATGCTTTCTTCAAGTTCCCTCCCCAGTGGACTTTTCCTTTTTTCATTCATATCTTTTGACTATTACCCATCTATTAAGGAGTAGGTTTTATCCTCAAATTCACATCAGATCTTTATAGATTCTGGATGTCATCTGATTTTATCAGGTGCATTTACTATAAAGATTTTCTTTTCCCTATCCATTTCTTTAATTTTTATCTTGAATACCTTTATTTTTACATAATGAATTTCATCTCTTGTATCCACTAATTTCTAACATTTGTGTGATGAATTAGAATTTTTGGTCTTTCTACAGTTGGGATAAAGGTTTTCTTTTTTTCTTCTCACTTTTTATAGTGGTGTACATAATTTTTTTTACCTTTTTTTTTTTTTTAGTTTACAACATTCACTTTTAGAAGATTTTGAGTTCCAAAATTTTTTCTCCCTCCCTTCCCCCCTCCCCAAGACGGTAAGCAATCTGATTTAGTCTATACAGGTACAATTATATTAAACATATTTTCCACATTAGCCATGTTGTGAAAGAATTAGAACCAGAGGAAAAACCATGAGAAAGGAGAGACAAACAAAAATAGTATGCTTCGATCTTCATTCAAACTCCATAGTTCTTTCTCTGGCTGTGAATAGCATTTTTCATCATCAGTCTTTTGGAATTGTGTTAGATCCTTGTATTGCTGAGAAGAGCTAAGTCTATCAAAGTCGATCATCATACAATGTTGCTGTTGCTGTGTACAGTGTTCTCCTGGTTCTGCTCACTTTGTTGTATTTTTTTCTTTATTTAGATCATGGATCGGCTTAGAATTTGTATCCATATATAATAGGAGAAACAGATCTAATCCCATTTTTCACCATCTCCAATTTTCCCAGTAATTGTTATTGAATCATTATTTTTCTTTCCTGAGTGTTTTAGAATCCTGAGTTTTATCAAGCCATCATGCAACATTTTTATTATAGTTATCCATGCATCTGACTTATTTCTATTACTTTAAGGATAAGATTTGTGTCTTATCTAAACTTTGTAGCGCTCTCAACCTCTGTCACAGTGCTGTGTACCTAGCAAGCAAATGTTTGCTAAATTGCTTTTATCATTCCTTTGTCACTCCAGGTAGGATGGAAGACAACCCGAGAATATTACACTTTTATGTGGGCTGTTATGCCCACCGACCTCAACAGTAAATCATCCTTGCAGCAACATGTGCAGTTTAAAGGTAAGAAGCAGTGCTAAGAGTCAGCAGCTCTGCCCCTTTCCAACAGGTCCTTCCCTTGTTCTCGTGGCCTTAGAAAGAATCTCTCTTGACCATTAGGACATATAGGTCAGCTCAACAGAGCTCTGGCTATAACCTTGTTTCCTCTGATTCAAATTTCTATGTTCAATTTCATTGGAGGACACAGGATCAAGTTTTCCTGGCTGCAGAAAGCTCCCCTTTGAGTTAATATGACTGTCTTTTCAGCTTACTACCTACCCAAAGATGATGAGTATTATCAGTTCTGCTATGTGGATCAGGATGGTGTTGTCCGGGGGGCCAGTGTTCCTTTCCAGTTCCGTCCAGAAAGTGAAGAGGACATCTTGGTGGTCACCACTCAGGTGTGCAGATTCATCCTTCTTCCTCCATGCTTCCCTCTCCCCCTACCCCCCACACCCCCACCCCCAGTTCTGCTCAGGTTAAGAGAAACGCTTCCAATGTGGAATTAGGAGATGAAAAAATTATCTTTGTGGGCTATAGACATTCACTTGGCCATACAGTTTATTACTAAATCCTGGGGCAGAGTCCACATGCATTTTTTGGAGTATTGAATAGATGATCCTGAGGAAATGCAATAGATAATGGCCCCTGCCCTCAGAGATTGCCTTGTCTAGTTGGGGAGCCCAGATTGAAATAACTTAAGAATGGTGACAACATATATAATAACTGATATTTACCTTGTCTGAAATTAATTTACTGCCCAATCCTCACATCTGTGTGTGTATGCTTTACATTCCCAACTGGATTGTGAGTCCTTTTGAGGACTTGAAATAGTTTATTCTGTTTACATTTATAATTCTTAGCTGTTAGCGTATTGCCTGTATTCAATAAATATGTATTGACTGATGTAAAATATTTTACAAACAGTATAACTACTAAAGGGATAGAGAAGATTATTCAGAATTAAGTGAGATTAATTATAGTCGGCTATTTGGGGAAGATGAATTTTGAGACAGGTAAGAGGTATGGATTGGTTGATAAAATAAGGGAGGGCCCTTAGTATATAGGAATATGATAGCTACTCCCTAGGATTGTTAATAATTATCAACCCAGAATGTCTTCTATCTCCTGGAGTATGAATGATAGATAGAAAATAAGAATGCTTTGTTGGATTTAACTCTCCATTTCATTGAGGTATGATCAGTAGTGGAGAAGGCAGAGTGAATCTCAGTCAGGAGTAATCCACATCATCTCTTGCTAATTAGAATTCTGCTGTTTTCCATTTTGGATCTGAGCAGATGTTGTTTTTTAGGGAGAGGTGGAGGAGATTGAGCAGCTCAACAAGGAACTTCGCCAACAGAACCAGGAGTTGAAAGACAACTATATTAGTCTCCAGAAACAGAACTCAGACATGCAAGCTGAACTCCAAAAAACTCAGGTATGGTGGCTCCAATGAGAGCAACTTTGAGCTCCATTTCTAGCAGGCTTGTGAATTTATCTTTTCTTCATTGCTTGTGTGTAAAACAACTCTTATTGCATCAGAAGATCTAACTGAACCCCACCATTTTACAGTGCCAAGTGTGGCAAGCATCTGAAGGGGGAGAAGGCCCAGGAAATCTAGCAGGTGCTAAGCCATTACAAGTTGATTAAAATTTGGGGATTGGTATAGAATATACATCTATGTAAACCCAGACTGCATTATTAGTACTCCAAAGTACTTAAAATTAGTACCTAAAAGAGTATTAAGGACTTAAATTAGTGCTTAAAAGAGTATTAACCAACAAATTTCACTCAGATTCTGTAAAACATTGATAATTTCTGAACAAAAGTTGATCATGGGGAGGAGATATAGAGAAAAACAAAAGGCACGGAGCAGGAAATTGGAACTGTGAGGAAGAAATGAAGGATATAAAACAAAAGATAAACCCTGGGATCACTGGGTCTTCCTCTCCTTCAATTTTTAAATATTTTCTTTACTTCCTTGAGCTTTGTTGCTACTGACCTCTCGGCCATCTTCTTTCTCCAGGCCTTTTCATAATCTCCCAGTCCGAATTCTATTGTAGAACTGCTATAACAGGTTATTGGCAATTTTTTTGCTTCATCTTTCTAGGCCTTTCCTATTCCATAGGATTTCTGAAAGAAATAAAAAATAGTCGTCTTTGATTCCGTATTCTCCATTGAGGTCCTGTAAGCATCTCTGTTGCTATATTTGAAGAGCTTGAAAGCTCTAGTCTTCATTTCTCAATTGTGTTCCTCCTTTCATGAATTCCTTTTTACTGCTTCCTCCCTGTGGGCTCTTTCTTTGTCTTTTTTCCTTCCATGTTCTTTATTCCACCTTCAACAAAGTTGCCTTTTGACACACTTGAGAGAAGCTGATCACATCTTGTGGTCTGCATTGTCTGTCCCCCCAAACCACCAAGTTTCCCACTGCTACATTCCTCAAAGTGGAATTTTGGAAGAATTTCAGGTCTGATGCATTTGGAAGATGAGAGATTGAAAGAGGGCAGGAATGAGGAGATGTACTGGGTTCTCTGACTGAATGTTATAAACATTGCAAAGATTCCTGGAATTAGGTGGCTCTACTTGTGGCCTTTGTATGTGTTCCCCTTCAGGAACTGCAGAAGAGACTTGAGTCTCTGACAGAGATCAATAAGACATTGGAGCAAAGGGTCAGTGTCCTGAATGAAGAGAACGAGGGTCTGAAGGTAGAGAAGATCTGTTGGGAGACAGAACTGCTTCAGTGAGTGCTTTTATGGACCTTTGAGATACTAACAATTCCCTGGTGATGCCGAATAGAGATAGATTAGAAGCCACTGGAAACGGATGCTCTTGATAGTAATCATAGTAGCTGACATTTATTTGACATTTATTTAAGGCTTACAGACCATTTAATATAACTAGTTTCATTTGATCCTGACAATAGCTCTGTAAGCTGGGGTCTATAGGTGTTATCCCCATTGTATATAGGAGTTAACAGTCTTTCATGCTAAGAAGTACACACAGCTAGTAAATGTGAGAGGTTGGATTCAAACTCTGTCGCAACTTCACGACTCTTCCCATTCCATCACACTGCCTCTCTTAAGAGCATATTAGTCCCAAAAGGAAAGAGGATATCCTTTCAAATGAGGAGCTCCACGATTCTGGATCACAGCTCAAGAGTTTGAGAACATGCTTCAGGGATCCCAGCATAACAGTCTGCTAGAATCAGGCAATCAAAACAAGACTGTAGAAGGGATTAGTGGGTTTTCGGGTGCTGGGCAGGGCTGAGGCAAAGCTGCCCTTGTTTAAACCATTCGAGACATCAAGAGGATATGACTGCTCTTACTTCCCTGAACCCAGTGGATGAGGCACAGGGGCAGATGCTAAAATCAACTCTTCATTTCCTAGACTTAAGGTGCAGAACCAGAATGTGGCCTCAGAAAATGAGAAAATGGGTGTCAGACTGAAGAGCACTCTTGATCACCTTGATCAGCTTCAGGTAGGCAATGATGCAGTTGCCCCTATCATCTTGCAGATCTTCTTAGACAACCTTTCTTCTGTCTCTGCTCCTCCCCAGTGACTTAATGATGATGTAGCTCAGGATAATAAGCACTTTTAGGCTATATATTTGCTCATTTCAGTCCCTATTTAAGATGCATGATACCGACTATAGCTGCAGACCCTCCTCTCCAGCCTCCTCAGTGTGATCTGTCCTTGAGGGCGATTCCTACATAGAAAGAAGGGCCAAGTACTGTAGCCAGATGTTAAACATTGAGGAGCTGTGCTGGACTCTGGCCCTTAAGAGCTAGCGTTGAAGGTGGCTTATGGAATTAGTCATGCCTATTTGGGAGACATTCACTTAGCATGTAAATGTGTGGAGATAAAAGTCATGTATAAGGTGGAATACTGCCAAGAGGTATTTTATTTGAAAGTTTGGGGTCTGCCTTGAGAATATCTTTTGTCCTTATGCTTTTGCTTTACAAAATATCAGTGCTGTTTCATGCCACATCCCTCTACGTTTTTGTCCTGTTGGCCATTTTTCCTATAGGCACAGATATCAGTACAAGAGAAAGAAATGGAGAAACTGACTCAAGGAGACCGGGACAAAACAGAGCAATTGGAGCATTTGAAGAAGGAAAATGAACAGCTACTTCTCAGTTTGACTGAACAGGTAGATCCATGGGGAAGAATAGAAATACACGGTCTGTCTAGGCCTTTCTAAATGATATGCCATTGTGCACATTGCCCCTTCATTATTAGCCCGTTTACCTGCATGTGATTCTGGGGGATGCCAAGGGAGCCCATCTGGAATGTTGGTGTCTCAGTGGGCTTTTTTTTTCTTCCAGAAGCTTAAGAGGAGGGATCCCCTTAGGTCCTGTTCATCCATAGCCCCTCCCTTCCCCTGCCCCCAGTGATGGTGCTTGGCTAATTAAGTCTGTATTTTTGTGCAGAGGGAGCACCAGCAGAAGCTTGAGCAGACTGTGAAGGAGATGAAGCAAAAGGAAACCACATCCACCCGGAAGCAGCAGGAGCTCATGGCACGTCTGAGTGGTTCTAGGGGAAGGGGCCTGAGAGAAGAGGAGAAGGAGATTATTTTAGGGACATGACGAGGACAGCGTTGTCTTTCTGTACAAGTAGGGAAAGAGAGACTGTTGAAGACAGCAGGGTGGTAAGGGTTTCCTGTAGGAAATAAGTGATGAAGACATTTAGAAAGCTGGCTGTCACCTCACAATGTATTCTGAACAAGGAGGTAGGAATCCTGGGTTCCAGTGCTCTCCACGTCCTTTTTCACTCCTTGGCTTCTGAGGGCCTCAGCTGCTTCACCAGGAAAAAAATGATGATACTCCTTTACTTCCTCCTCAAAGAGATGGTATCAGGACAGACACATTTAATATACTGTATATAAAACTTGTAACTCTTCAGGAGAATGGGGCTGTAGCAATTTCCAAGTAGTAAGAGTTTTAATGAGAGTATGTGTGTATACATATGAATGAATGAGAGGCAGCATAATGTAGTGGCTAAGAGCCAGCTTTGGAATTGGGAAAAGTAGTTTCAGGGCTGACCACTGGCTTATACTACCTGGACAAGACAGTTAACCTCTCAGTGCCCTGGGCTGCTTTCTGACGCAGTAACCTGTGAGTTAGAGGAAGTTAGACTCCTTCCTGGAAATTCCCTACACAGATGAAATCGAAGGGCACACACACACATGCACATCAAGTCCCAGCTCTGATATATACTTGACAGTGCAACCTTGAGTAAGTCACTTAATCTCTTAGTATCCCAGGCAACTCTTAGAATGAGTTGCAGAACAGCTGCCAATTTGCATTGTTTAGGGGGACATTCTTCTCCCCATATTCCCTGTGCCAATGAAATCATAAGTCCAGGCTAAAACCATGCAAATATGTAAATGTGTATGTATATGTACCTGTACATCTCTGTGTATACACAAATACATTTTATATTACAATGCAGTATGGTCTAGCTTTCCCTGTCCTTAAATTGGCATGGTAGTATAACATTTATTGGGCAACCATTTGTACTACCTACCTAGGCTAATTGTGAAGACATTCCTTTGTTAAGATTTTATCTCTCAGGGGAAATACAACAGGTGTCAGAGAGGGACTCTTAAAAATTATTTGGCAAGCATTGGAGAGATCCTGTGTTCCGTGAGCTAGTTTTCTTGCATTTGTGAAATCTAGAGGTGGCTGTAATTCTCTCTGATGTGATGCTGTGCCACTTATATTTGAAGAGATGCGTGATTTCATTTATGTGATTACTCCTTCAGCTGACCCTGATGGCATCTTCTCTGTGTTTTATAAGGAGTCCTGGCCATCGAGGCAGTGTGCCATTTCATGCTTAGCTAGCTAGGCATATCCTTAGTTCACACACAGTGTCGTCTGGGGCCCAGACCCTTAAGTCTTACAACCTTGGTAAAGACCTGCCAGAGCTTGTGCTTTCCAGTATACAGTATACCCAGTCACCTCCAGGCCACAGTGAGCCATCAGAATAATGAGACTATAAGGGAAGATTCTACTGTGTATGGCACAATAAATTATTGAATTAGATTAAGTGGAGCCTACTGTTTTGTGAGGGGTAGGTCTTATGATGGCATGCTTCACAGTGCCTGGGTTTCTTTGATTTTCCTAGTACATGTTTTGGGGCCCACAAGCTCCACCACCTCTTGGGTACCAGCTCCATATCCCTCCCTCCAAGGGGCAGCTAACCCTGGGGGCAATGTATCTTGTCCTTCAGAGACCTAGGGACAAGAAAGCGCCAGTGGAGAAGCAGTTAGTGCAGGAGGTGGAGCGGCTGAAGGCGAAGGTAGAGGCTGGGAGAGCCTGTTTCATAGAGAAGTACAAAGAGTGTCAGCGCCTCCACAAACAGATCAGGCAGCTGAAGGCTGCTGTGCTGGTAGGTGACCCAGATGGGTGGGAAGCAGGGGGATAGGCTGTGGGGGTCTTTAGACAGCTCAGCTCTGGGGGCTGTCCTCTCAGTTGCAGAGTAGAAGGGAATTTAAGGGCTAGGGTGGGGGGTGGGGAAAGGAGCACAGTGCATGCATGTATGCATGGCCTCAAGGTCCCCTGAGACCTGCTGGCTCCATCCCCACTAAAAGATCTCAAAAAGGGTCCCCGTCATCTTTGGACAAGTCCTCCGCAGACTTAGATGGTATTTTTTCGTTTCTGCCTTTTGAGGAAGCGAACGGGGACAGACAGAAGGACAAGAAAAGCCAACAGGAGCCTCTGGGGCTGGGGAACAAGGAGCCTGCAGTCACCCCTGCCATCGGGTAGACCCTTCCCCCTTCCTACCTCAGGGCCAGCCAAAAGCATACAGCAGCTTGGGCACCAGCATTCCAATAAAATCCATAATAAAAAGGAGAATTAACTTCAGTGTTTTCTGAAGTGTGTGCATGTGTATGTATGTAGGAGGTGGGGAAAGCATAAATGAGAAACCCCTAAGACGCCGGCAACTATTGAGCTAATTTGTTATACCCTCAGCCAGGAAGGGGACACCACCAGACTGAAAAGCAGAAGACTTCAGTCCTTTTTCCATCTGTGACCCTTAGGCCCTTAGAGACACTTGGTAGTCTTAATCCTGGTACCCACTCAGTAGGTAGGCTAAGGTAGGACTCCCTGTAGTGTGAAAACCCTTGGAATGAGGTGCTCTTTCACCACAAGGATTATTGTGCTCCCAGCTCTCCCAGATTTCCCTTTGGTCACTTTTAGGGTTCTACCCAACTACCAACTTTGCCCTTTCCCTCCCTTATATCCCTGGCCAGCCCAAAGGAGTGGACATTGGTAGCCAACTCATTCTTCCTAATGCCCCACCCTCAACCGTGAGAGCTAGAGGTTTCTGCTGTGTTGCTACTTCATGTTGCTCATGGGCCCAGTTCCCAAACTGAAATCTGTGTTCTTATTGATCTCATTTCTCTTGACAGAACCAGATCAGTGACCTGATGAAGAAGCTAGATGAGAACAAGATTTTCTGTCAGGAGCTGCAGAGGGAGAAGACCAGAGTAGAAGGAGAAAAGGACGTAAGGATATAAAAGGACTAGATCCTCTCAAATTGGAGGTGAACAGGGGCCTGTTGGCCGAGGATGAAACAGGAACTTGAACGTTCTCTGACACTCATTCTGGCAGAGGATCCTGAAAAGGGGAGCATATTTATTTTGTTTTGTTTTCTAGTCCAGCCCCAGATGTTGATCTCTGCATGACACCTGTAGCTTCCTATGGCACATGAGTAGGCACATTGCAGAGAAGTGGTTTCATTTGAAACTGGTCATTTTTATACTTGATCTTCACTGGTTTCTCGTCATCCATTCACTGCCATTATATTGGGGGAGGAGGAGTGTTGGAGTGACGGGTTGGATTTGGTCATTGGCACTAACTTCATGTGAGCAACTGCTGATCCCCTGGCTCAGTGTTTCCATTGCCAGGCTGTGCATGGGAAAGACAACAGCTGTCTTGGTGCTAAATACACAGCTGGCTTATCATCAATGGTTTTTCATTATTCATTTTACCCATATTTATTGAGCCCCATTTAGTGGGTTGACAGTGATGTCAATTAAACAAGAAGGGAAATTAGTCCAAGGCCACAGAATGTAGGATGTATACATGTGAACACAGTGTTCATGGTCTAGCTGCTTAGGAACCATTCTTAGGGGTTGTTCTAGCTCCTTCCTCCTTGCAACCGATCACCTAGTGACTCTGCAGCCCTTAATTTCTGTAGGCCTCAGTTTCCCTGTCTATAAAATGAAGTGGATAATATACTCTCGGAAATGCCATCAAATTCTAGTGGGCTGTGATTCTGGGCTGTACCTTGAGATTAGGAATATATTGACCCCTGAATCACAGATAATGCCATTGTGCCTCAGTGGTTGTCAGGGGTTTTGTGAGGCTCTGATGAGATAAGTGGGAAAAGTACTTTGTAAGCCTTAAAGTGCTATATAAATACCCATTATGAGTATGATTATTGGCCTATAGTCACCAGGCCTCCAGTCTAGTGATGACTTCATTCCCTGAGCTTTCTACTTCACTCCTATAGAACAGTGCAGGGGCATGCTAGTCATTGTTTAACAAGAAAAATGTATGTACACACACTTGTAAGTTTAACCTCCATTATTAACTCTTAAGTCTAGACAAGCAACAAAAAAGTCCTGATTTGTAGATTGCCAATTTTGAGGTGTAAATGCTCCCATAGAAAATTTAATAGGCTGGCTCCAGCACACAGCTAGTACTTAGGAAAAGGCTTTCATTCTGTTCTCTGTTGACTTAGATCTGTGTGCCGCAGCTGCCCCTGAGTTTGGAATCGATGCTTCTTGGCTGAGGGAGCTACTGATGAAAGCAGGTCATGTGGATCTTAGGTTGGAAGGGACATCAAAAGCCATATCTATTCTAGCCTCCTCATTTTGTAGATGGGGAAACTGAAGCCCGGGGAAGTTAAGCAGTTTCCCCAAGGTTACAGAGGTATCAAAGATCAGAGGTGGGACCTGAACCCAGATCCCCTGACCTTGGTGTGGGCATTACTCTTCACTGTTCCACAGATGTCCCAAGACTTTGTTAACAAGAAGGGAAATGGCATGGTTTCAAGCTGTATTCAAAATGGATCTTAATAGTAGGATATGTCATATGGGGAAGTATGATATACGTGGAAACCTAAGGAATATTAGCAATTAAGTCAATAATTTGACAGTTAAAGGTGATAAATAAGAAATGATCTGTCTCAAACTTCCTGTTTTTCCTTTGGCTCTATCCCTATTCCTGTGATTGTTTAAAGGTGAGAAAAAAAAGAAAAAGGGAATTTAAATCAGTTTACAATGTGTACAGTGTGCACAAAATTAAAAGTGTTATGTAATGGAGAGATTTGAAGCAATAGTGGAATCTCCACAGCAAATTTTCAGTCCTATCCTGGGTACTTAGGTCACAGCATGTTCCTAGGCCTCTTGCACTGTTAACAGGTTTAGGATGCAAATTTCGTTTGCCGAATAGAATGAGCAAGATACAGCCAAGTTTTTTTCTTTTTTAAATTGCCTAGATTAGAAAATTGATGTTTACCTGAAGATTTTATTGCTGTGGCCTTCCAAGTGCCAGTGGATAATTGAGTGTAACCCTTCCGTGGTAGCATTCATCAGTTCGTTACTTTGTTGGCTGCTGCCTGTCACTTCATCCAAATATTCTCTTTGTAGCTCTTGCAGAAGGAAAATGACAGGCTGCTGTGTTATGTCTGTGAGGATTCTGGTTCTGATCTGCTCCCTAACCCTACTCCTGTTCAAGAAGCCCTCAAAGAAAACGCTGGACTCATTTTTGGGAATCCTTATTCTGGTAAGGCCCCTACCACATCATTTCAGTTGGAAATGTTCTGCCTTCATTCCTGTCCCCCATTAAATCCTTTCCCTTCTGCTCATTAAGATAGCAGCCCCGTTGTCAGGATAGACATGGGGAGGATTTGCTTGTTGGGCAGAAGCTGGGAACCCAATAAAAAGATTGCTTGGCAGAAGGTGTTAATTGAGGAATAAATCTGGACCTGGGAGACGCAAATCAGATCGTTCCGCCCAAAGGCAGCAGACACAAATTGAGTCCCGTGGCTCTAGACCCAATGTATAAATCAGAGAACCGTCTTTAGGTAGAAGATATACACTAAGCACCAAAGCTGGGGAAGCTCATTAAGGTTGGGAAATATGAGGAGAAATGAGACATGCTGTCCAGTAACAGGCACCTGGGGAAAGGCGGAGGTTGTGGGGGAGTAGAGGGGGAAGAGTCACCCAAAGAATCCTGGTAAGGAAGGGGAAGTATGGCATTCATTAGACACATGGAGAAGATGGAAGAACTGAGACAAGGATAGAGGCAAATTTGGCTTGCCTTTCAGGTCGCCTTGGTGAACACGCTTGATGGGAGGAGAGAGTTTGATTTTGGTTCACTGGCTCAGCTTTCTTTAGTGCCCCAGAGGGCAGTCTGAGAGTGTGCCGTTGCGATTATGAAACAGGGGCCATCACAGGGCTGTTTTTCATTTTTTTTAAATTGCAGCTGATTTGCATAAAATATATTTGCATCTGTAAGCCTATGTAGTCTGGTGTCAGTTTAAGGTGGTTTTGTCACTGGTAGGATATCTCTCTGATTCTCCTTGTTTCCTCCTGCTCTTCTGTTTCTTTCTCTTTATGACTGACTCGGATCTCCCACCTCAGAGTTAGTCATATATAAAAGTATTCAGAGAGAGCTGGAGACAAGTGGAGTTGGGGGTGGGGGGATGGAGGACACACACAACGCCTGCTAGGTCACAGCTGGAGAAGAGAGGAAAAAAATAATTTCTGTGAATGACTTCTTTTTGTTTTTTCCAGCTACCCAAGATGTCCATGTCCCCATCCCAGTAAGTATCTGCTTGTTGGGCTTTCTCGTATTAAATCCTAAAGAGATTATCCCTCCCTGCTCAAGTCCAGTAACATGATCCTGAGGACCACGGAGGGACTGATTGAATAGTTACTGTTGCCACAGGGGTCAGTGGTCAGTTTAGTCGATAGGCAGGACTTGGTAGAAGACAAAGCTCTTCTACTGTCTTTTCTGCTTCATAAAGTTCATCTCTGGAAATTATCTATTACAGTTAGAGGTGGAGTGAGTGATTTGTTGAAATGGCTACTTATTCAGAAGGCGTACTCTTTATTTCGATCTGAGACATATCTGCACAACTGCTCTATTATTCATTGTTGTTGGGGCAGCTAGATGGCACAGTGGACAGAGGCTAAGCCTGAGTCACAAAAACTCTTCCTGAGTTCAAATCTGGCCTCAGACGCTTAGTAGCCATGTGACCTTGGGCAAGTCACTTAACCCCATTTGCCTCAGTTCATCTGAGCTGGAGAAGGAGATGACAAGTCACTCCATTATCTTTGTCAAGAAAACCCCAAATCGGGTCACAAAGCGTCAGGCACAACTGAACAGCAGAGCAGTTGTACAGATGTGGCTCAGATTGAAATAAAGAGTTCTCCTTCTGAACTAGAAGCGATTTCAGTATATCATTAATCCTAAACATCTCCTGATTGAGAAGAGACAGAATGGTCTGTCAAAGGCGAAGACTGCACAGTGAGGTCTGGGACAGGAGATGGGTTTAGTTTTTATACCTTCTTCCAGATCTGAAGCCCTGTATCTATGCTTCTGTTTGGGGTAATTCCACCTCTGAATGAGTAACCCCCGACCCCTTAGCTGGCTGAATTTCGGTTGTTGATCTCTCTCCCTTTTCATAGCCATCTATCAAAAAGTGCCCCGTCTGCCATGGGGTCTTTCCAGATGACGTGGAGGATGTCATCTTCGAGCAGCACCTGCAGACCCATATTCTGGACTGTCCATATTGTGATGAGGTCTTCTCAGAAGTTGAGCGGCAGGTGTATGATGACCATGTGTTCTGCCACTCCCTTTAAAATATGTCACCACTGCTTGGCCCCAGGAGGAGTGGGCCAGAAGCCCTTCTTAAGAATAATGAGTCAAGATTGCTTCTAAACCTGAAACTACTAAATCCACTCAAGTCTTTTCTCTGGGGATGGCATCCTGATGACCCATTTTTGAGACACTTGTTAACCTTCATCCTTTTGGATCAGTCTCTGTTGGCTCACGTAATGGCTCAGGCTTTACTAGCCTGTAGCCTTTACCTTTCTATAAAGGCTCAGTGAGCCAGCCCCAGAAAGAGGCTGCCCTGGCTTGGGCACTGAAGTGATTAGCCCATTCTGTCACCTAACTGCTGTTGAATTAGTCAAGCCAAGATGAAGCCAGCCCAAATGGATTTGCACTGTTCACAGTTAGAGCCCTGTATCTAGAAGTTATTCAAAGGAATGACTGAGAATTTCCATCTGTTCACTAGCTGTTTTGATTGCATCGGTTCCAGGCTTTATTAGTTTAGCCACGTGAAGTAGCTTACCCCAGCCTCCCCCTTCCTCATAGAAGTAACTTTTTTTGAAGCAAGTAGGGAGAAGTTCTGTGATCTTGAGCACAGGAAATTTTCTCAAAAGATATCTCCAGTTTCTCTGGTTATCGCTTCTTGATTTTGGCCTTTTTCTATACAAATATATAATCCTTGCTGTAATGGCCTTTCATAGTGAGTAATTAGAAGCCAGTGGTTTGGAATTGTTTTCCTGAGCAGCAGGTGGGTTTAAATTATTTTGGATAAGCAAGAATAATGGATACTTAATTCTGTTAATCTCTTGATTGCTGAAGACTAATAAAATCCTCATCTATTTCTGTGACTTCGGTGATTTAAGAACATTGAGTTGTGACTTTTGCTCTGGCAGATGTGGGAAAATGGCCTCAAGGATGCTGGGAGGGAGAAACCTTGTAACTATGCCCACTCATACTCCCACTCCACCCCATCCTTATTCTACTCTTTGGCAAATGAGGGCTCAAGGGATACATACTATAGGAGTGGGAAGTGGATCAAGCATAGCATGACAGCTGAATTTTGTTATAATTCCATGTTCCAGTTTTCAGAGACATAATGAAGAATTTGAGTGCCCTATGTGAGCTCATTGCAAAACCCCCTTGTCCAATTGTGTAGAATAAAATCATAGGGAAAACATCTCCCCACCCTATCCATTCAACTCTATTAAGTGAGTAAGATTGAGTGTCTGCTGTGTGAAGAACCTTGTATAGGTTACTACAAGGTAATAGAAAATAAGTACTATTCTTTTGTATAATTGTAAGATACATGAGTTCCCATGTAAAAATACATGGGTTCGCTTGGCTTGTTTAAATGTTAAGTCAAGCAGCTTGCAAGTAGCTTGGATAGATATCTCTGTAATCTAGATGACCTTTCTCCAAGTAAGACTTCAATTTCCACACCAAAGGGGTATTTGGAGAAGAGCTGTGACTGGATGCTTGCTTGCCTATTTCTAAAAAGGCTATCAGGCTAGATTTCTATCTGTACCCTCAAATATTGCTGTCCAAGGGTGCAGTTTTGTCCGAAACAAAAGCCAGTCCCCGGTCGATGGTAATGGTTAAGGCAGTTTACACTTTTTTCTTTTCTTTTTCTTTTTTTTATTAATTTATTTTGATTTATCAATAATCACTCCCATATTCTTTTGAGTTTAAAATTTTTCTCCCCCTTCCTCTCCACCACCCTCCCCAAGACAGCGCACAGTCTGATATAGGCTATACATTTACATTCCTATTAAACATATTTTCACATTAGTGATGTTGTAAGTAAAAATTAAAACTAATAGGAGGAACCATCAGAAAGAGGAAACAAAACACAACAGAAGAGGAAAGAAAATTGCAATTCAACTTCCATAGTTCTTTGGATGTGGATAGCATTTTCCGTCACGAGGCCTCTGGAGGTGTCTTAGATCTTTGTATTGCCAGGAAGGGTTAAGTTTATCAATATTAGTCATCATACAACGTGGTTGTCATTGTGTACAACGTTCTCTTGGTTCACTTCACTCAGCATCAAACCATACAAGTCTTTCCAGGTTTTTCTGAAGTCAGCCTGTCGTCATTTCATATGGCACAATAGTATTCCATTACATTCATATACCAAAGGCAGTTTACACTTAACCAGCTTAGCTCCACATCGGATACTGGTCACAAAGAAAACAGTGACAAATTGTGAAGAACTAGTAAACTGTTATCCAAGCTAACAACAGTAAGAAACTGGAGAAGTTACACACATTAGAATATATCAAAAACTGTACAAGAGGTACTGAACTGTTTAATTGAGAATGAGATGAAACCTCAGCTCAACTGAGAGACACTCTTTGAGTGTGAGGTGGCAAGCTGAAAACTGGGGGGCCTTCATGTCTGCAGTTTCCATAACCTCTTAACATGTCTTTCCTAGAATTTTTTTTTTCTCCTAGAGTTTTTTTTTTTTTTTTTTTTTAGGCAATTGAGGTTAAGTGACTTGCCCAGGGTCACACAGCTAGTAAGTGTCAAGTATTTAGTCTGAGGTCGCATTTGAACTCAGGTCCTCCTGACTCCAGGGCCGGTGCTCTATCCACTGTGCCACCTAGCTGCCCCTCTCCTAGAGTTTTAAGCAGCATGTGTGTCTCCCCGACTGTGACCTGAGCTCATGCAGGTCCACAGGGTCAACATTCTCTCTACCAGTTAGGAGACCTATCTCCCTGCAAACTCTGCAACATTCAGCATTCCCAGTTGCATCATTTGAAGTACTGGACCTCATTTGAGCTTCATAGCATCACCATAAAGTAGGAACTGCAGGTGCTCCTGTTTTTAGAGATGTAGAAACAGATTGTGACATAGCACTCATGTCAGAGGCAGGATTCAAACCTAGGGCTTTACACACTGAGTCCAGCCCTCTAACCAGTTTACCACACTGCCTTTCATTTTACATCTTGTTAAGAGGAAGTTGAACACAGCACTTCTGCTCCAGAGACACTGAGAAAGAGGTTAATAGGACTTGGATTTCGTTAAGAAGACAGACTTGGTGGTGACAAATTCCCAAAGGGAAACCCAGAATAGAGGGTGAGCATTCAGTGGTTTTCTTTAGAGGAAGCCTTTGCATCAAAGAAGGTTTTTTCTATTCATCCAAGTTATCATTTGTTTCAGGCTCTGCAGTTTTCCTTGTCAGCTTTCAGTAAAGAATGCCCCTCTCATTGGTTTTTACTAGTCAACACAGTGTTCCATATTTACCAGTGTTTTCTACCTCCCACATTAAATCTCATTACATGCCAGGCACTATACTAACAGCTAGGATACAAAGAATGGCAACAGCCTCTGCTCTCATGGACCCCTTGATATGGAAGTTGGAATCTTGCTTGGAGAAGGGTCATTTAGATTACAGAGACATCCATCCAGGCTATTTGCGAGCTGCTTGACTTAGCATTTAGACAACCTAAGTGAACCCACGTATTTTTACATGGGAACTCGTATCTTACAATGAGGCATATGCAAGATATACATAGAGTGGTTAGATTGGACCTTTAGGGGTGACAACTGGCACTTGGAGGAGATGGGGTTAGAATTGGGTGATCTCCATCTGTTTTGGGGATACACCATGATTATTTTGTTAACATTTACCTTGAGAAACCTGGAAAGACATGAACTAATGATGAGTGAAATGAGCAGATCCAGAAGGACATATAGTAACAGCAACATTGTGTGATGATCAACTATGATTTAGCTCTTCTCAGCAATATAGGATTTAAGACAATTCCAAAAGACTCATGATGGAAAATGCTGTCCGTATCCAGAAAAAGAACTATGGAGTCTGAATGCAGATGGAAGCATACTACTTTTTTTTTGTTTGTTTCTTTCTCGTGGTTTTTCCTTTGGTTCTAATTCTTCTTTCACAACATAACAAATGGAAATATATTTAATATGATTGTACATGTATAACCTATATCAGATCGCACGCCGTCTTGGGAAGAGGGGAGTGGAGGGAAGGGAAGAAAATTTAGAACTCAAAATCTTACAGAAGTGAATATTAAAAATTAAAAACAATTTAAAAAAGCATTTAACTTGCTAATACAGTTTTTGCTCAGGCTGATTTTCTGAGTATATGACACCTGGATAGTGGAGGAGGCTCACTCTAAAATATGTTGAGCAAGTGAGAAAATCAACCTGGAATTAAAATTATGCTGCACATGATTTGCACATAGAAAATTGAGAGCTAAGTTGTACTGTACGGTACACCTGAAGGGTTGAGAGATTTGGTAAACTCAAGGCCCTAAGAGTACCTAGGGTCACAGCTGTGTTACCCAGCATTATTAAAAGAGGAGATGGGATCTCCTGAAGGAGCAAGAGTGACTTGTCTATTTAAGGAAATGAACGAAGATAACCAACCTACCCTAAATTAATCAGACTGACAGTCCTTCACACCCACTAATATCCTATCCTCCGTATACGCTACCCCCTTCCTTAGCCAGTTTAGCCCTGTAAAGTACATTGCCCTCACTACCCATCCCCCCAATTCTATCATTAGTTCATCTCACGTTGGATTTCAGATGCATACTGCTACAGCTGAAGCAAGACTGGGGAGCAGGGGAATCCTACAGCTACCTCTGTTCCCTGCCACATCTGGGGAGCTAATATGTGCCTTGCATCCTCTTCACTGCCCATTCCAGATCTAGTTCCTGATCATCTGGTCATCTGTATCTGTGGTCTCTGGTTGATAACATTTTCTTCTGCTCTCATCATGGAGATGGATGTAATTAAAGCTGGAGGGATGGTCCCCCAATGGTCCACAAATCTCAAGTAATCATATTAAGGGATCCAGCCTTCTCTGCCTAATGTTATTGCCTTCTCCCAGTAGAATGAAAGTAAACGTGACTCCAGGAGGGAGATAGGCTTCTTGCCTACGCAGAGTCTTTCAATATTTATTGAATGCCCACTGTGTTCAGAGGCATTGGGAGATTTTTTTTAATGTTTTATAGATTGGTCTCTGCCCTGGGAGAGCTATGAGGCAGTGTGGTATAGTAGACAGTATACTGGACTAGGAGTCTGGAAGATCTGGATGGAAACCCCACCTCTGACATTCACTGGGTGACCCTGGGCAAGTCATCTAGACTCTGAGCCTCAGTTTCCCCATCTGTACAATGAGGGAGTTGGATTTGCTGATCTTGATCTCTAAGGACCCTTTTATCTGCAAATTCTGTGATCCTAATGAAAAAGACATGGTGTAATCCTCAAAGAGCCTCTCAATCAGATGGGGAAAAGCCAGTCTCTATTCTCTTTTTTTTAGGCAATTGGGGTTAAGTGACTTGCCCAGGGTCACACAGCTAGTAAGTGTCAAGTATTTAGTCTGAGGTCGGATTTGAACTCAGGTCCTCCTGACTTCAGGGCTGGTGCTCTATCCACTGCGCCACCTAGCTGCTCCTAGTCTCTGTTCTCAGGGAGTTCGCAGTGTGATGTGACTCATTCCCTACCATCTGGGAGCTCATGCTATCAGAGAGGTTCTAGTCTGTTGATGGTAATGCTCCCATCATCCAGGACTGATAGAGAAGAAGTACACACACAGATGAAATTAAGAATATTGATGAAGCTAGGATATATTGCAAGGAATCAATAGGTACTTAGGAGAATGAACCCTGGCTGAGAAATGTATGAACAAATCAGGAAATAAAAACCCAATGAAAGTGAATTTTAAGCTATTATTTGGAAAGGTACCTAGGAATACTTTGGCAGAGAAGGGTGAGAGGATTTCCTAGATAGAAAAAAATGCCCTTCTAATGCTCCTTAGAAGGAGTTCAAGTCCTTGAGATTTCTCTCAAGTTATACCCGATTGCTAATTTGACTT